GTGCCTCCCGGTTCGCCCGGGCCCCGCTGAGGCCGCTGCGCCCCTGCCTCTTCGCGGGAAGATTCGCTCCAAACTCCCGGAACTTGTGGGGGCAGTCCCAGAAGCGGTGAAACTCTCCGGATTGGCAGCCCTGCCTTGGGGCCCCCATCCTGGGCGGCGCCCCTTGACGCGCTCCCCTCGCCCAACCTTCGCTGCCACGTGCCTGGGCTCCGAGGGCCACAGAGGCCCAGGACAGAGCTGATTGCCCCCAGCCCCGCGCTAGGCCACGATGCTCATGAGGAAAGTGCCCGGCTTCGTCCCGGCCTCCTCGTGGGGGCTGCGGCTGCCGCAGAAGTTCCTCTTTCTTCTCTTCCTTTCTGGCCTGGTCACCCTGTGCTTCGGAGCCCTCTTCCTGCTGCCCCACTCTTCTCGCCTCAAGCGCCTCTTCCTGGCCCCCCAGACCCAGCAGCCCGGCCTGGAGGTGGTGGCCGATATCGCTGACCACCCTCTGGTGCGAGAGCAGGAGCCAGCTCCCAACCCAGCTCCTGCCGCGCCAGCCCCGGGCGAGGACGACTCCTCCAACCGGGCCAGTCACCCCCGCAGGACTGGGTGGCCGCGGCGCACCCGCCCCACCGGGTCCCGGGAGGAAGCTACAGCGGTTCGGAACAACGTTATCGCAGCGCTCAGGGCCCCAGGGAGAGTCGCCCCGTTTACCTTTGACTTCAATGCATTCCGGAGTCGTCTGCGCCACCCTGTGCTGGGGACGAGGCCCGACGAGAGTAAGGAGTCCCAGAGCCGAGTGCGAGCCCAGCGGGAGAAAATTAAGGAGGTAAGGACACCTCCTCCCAGCCTTAAAAAAAGGGGTTCCCACCAAGCACCCCCAACCCCGAATCCGCAGCCGAAACAACCAACCGTTGTTTTCGATGCCATTCCTGCATCCTGGGCGACTCAGGTTCCCACCCCTTTCGTTTTATTCCTAAACTTCTACCTCATTCTCCCTGTTCCCTTTCCCCCCAGAGAGGTTCAGTTACTCAAACCCTGCCCTCACCTGTGGCAGCCCAATCCCTGGACCAACCTCTGTCCCTCTCTGGCCTCTGATGTGTTGTCCCATCACGCAGGTGGGCTCAGATCTTCATGCTTTCCCTTCACAGAATTTCTGGTGAGGTGGAGTCGAGGCTCCTTGACAAACACCTCTCCTCTTGCATTTGTAGACCGGGAACCACTGGCCACATTCCTTCCCATTTCAGTCCTTAAGGCCCTGAAGTGCCTGCAGGACTTGCTACTTGGGAACCTAGGACTGGGGGGGGGGGTAGTATTGGGGGGATAGGGAAGTATTTGGTGGCCTCCAAGTATTTTTATCATGTAGCCAGATCTGCAAACCAGAAGATAACTGTGTATTCTTACTGGTGTCTACCGATATTGGAAACAGTTGTATATATTTATAACTGAGTGTGACCCAGGAGCAGTGATCAATAAGATGGTGGCAATGTTGTCACAGAGGGGAGCCTTGTGGTACAGTGGTTAAAGCTTTAACAGCGAATCAGAAAGTCTGTGGTTGGAATCCACTTGGCATCCTGTGGGAGAGCGATATGGTGGGCTCCTCCTGTAAAGACTGACAGCCTTGGAAGCCCTAAGGGACAGTTTTCTTCTGTCCTACAGGGTCACTATGAGTCACAAGCAACTTAAGGTGGTTTTGATTTTGTTTGGTTTAGTGTTACAGAAGCTCTGAGACTGTTGGCCTAATAAAGCAGGTCTTGGGCTTGCTTCCTAGGGGGATTGGACCAGGAAGACGTTTAGAAGAATGACTTTCTGTCCGAGTTTCATTTAAGAAGACAAAAACAATTGCGGCCTTGCCATGCATGACTTGAAAACATGGCCAAGTGGTTACCGATGAAGGCTGTTGATGTTGTTGTGTGCCATCAATTCAGAACTGACTCATAGCTGACTCTCCAGTGGGTTTTCAGAGGCAGTAAATCCCACGGGAGGAGATTACCCATCCATCTCCTGCAGCCAATGATGGCTGGTGTTCTGCTTGGCCAGCATGAAAGCTGCCTGAGTGAGGTTTGTGCCCAGCACTGCAGAGGGGGCTGCAGTGACACCCCCAGGCCACGAGGGGGCTGTGGGCGAGCATGGACCAGGGTCTCCTCCCTAGAAAAGAGAGGAGGCTTCCCTTTCCCCACAGACCCAGAAGGAAAGGGCTACTTCTGACTGTACTTCTTGGTTTCCTGTGAAGGAGCCAGCAGGTCCTTGATTTCCAGGGCGAGCAGAAGCAAGGGTTAGGACCCCCCCGCCCCCCGCTATGACCTCCAAGCTGGTGCAGAACACGGCTCACCTCCCACCCAAAGGCTCCCACACCCTCCACTTTATTTCTGCTCTCATTCGCTTGTTCTGTGCTAAGTGCTATTTAGAGACTGTCACAATGAGCAATTATAGGGCGTCTTGGGACGTCAAGATTGTTGTTGTTTTATGCCACTGAGTTCATAACAACTCATTACGACCTTATGAACCACTGAGAACCTTAACCTGTCCCATGCCATCTTCAGGATCGCTGTCACCCTTTGAGCTCCTTGATAGGAAGTCACAAAGAAGCGAGCTCTTGTTTTCTTATTTCTTTGTGTGTGTATAGGTGCTCTTAGTTTCCAAACTCTGATTAGGGCTAGAACTTGCAAAAGCTAAGAAAAAGGGCATCTATTTCTTCCTTTTCCGTTAAGAAACGTTGTTTGTTGAATAGTTACCTGGACCACCTGGACTACCTGAGCTCCTATCTCAAAACTGCCTGTGAGCACGTTAACCCTCCTATATGCCTCAGAGAGCAGGAACCCCTGTTACAAATGAACTGTATGCATCAGTTTTCCATAGGAGGTCGAAAGCTGTCATCAGGTGGTCAGAAGGCTCTCTGACAGGAGTAAGAATTAGCTACTGTTCTCAGAGAGGTGTCTAATGGATTCATAGGGAGTTCTGGTGGCCTAAAGGTAAGAAGCTATACTGTAATTCAGAAGGTACACAGTTTGAACCCACCAGCTGCTTCATAGGAGAAGGGTGGACAGTCTCCTCTTGCGCGATTTACTGCCTCTAAACACTCATTAGAAAGTCATCTGTGAGTCATTTTTTACTGTCAGCTATGGGCCATTTTTTTGCTTGACAGTACACAACAACAACCACAAGAGCGCATTCATGTCTAGGGCTATGAGTCACTACTGAAAGCCTTGGGCTGGCAGCAGTGGCAAGAAGGGTGGACTGGCTACTGGGGTCATGGTTCTGCTCATCTGTGTAAAGACACTCTTATTGCCAGCACAGGCTGTGGGGGATGGCTTGCATCAGTGGCTGGAGGGTTGGTGAGGGGTGTGGAGGCTCAGAGCTTTGTAAGGAGACTCTCTGCTTAACATGGTCAGTGGGGATATCAGTTAGTTGCTTGATGTCTGGATCTTTTTACCTATCATTCTCTTGCACCCTGATTAATAGCTAGAGTCATTCTTGCATATACCCACAGTTGGAATTCAATGCCTGAGTCCCACAATATTGTCTTAAAGGCCCTTGTTGGCCCCTCACTCTTGGTGACCCCATGAGCAATGGAACAAAGCCCTAACTGGTTTTACACAATCCTCCTCATGGGTTTTGGACTGGAACACTTTGATCCTGAATTTTCATTGACTTGCTTTTCAGACGTAGCTTGTCTTAGTCTGGAAGCTGCCCTGAAACCTGTTCAAACTCATAGCAGTACATAAGCCTCCACTGGCAAATGAGTGGTAGCTGCGTATTAGGTGCAGTAGCAGGAATCGAACCCAGGTCTTGTATGTTGAAGGCAAGAATTCTACCTCTGAATCTTCATTGCCTCTGATTTTAAACCTTAGAGTGGAGGGATGCCAGGCTATATATACTGTTGCATTCTGAAGCTTTGTCTTTTCTGTCTTTTTTAGTTTGATGTCCTCCTCAATAACCTTGGAAGCTGATAGACAGATTTTGGGTTAGCTGTTAACACAGCGTTACTGTCTCTGGTATGCCCCCCCCTGGTGAGGAACAGAGGACCACTGCTGGAGGATGCCTTTCTGTCTGATCATTTAAATTCCAGTCTGTGTCGTGCCCAGGGGTAGACCATTTTAGAGAGATGCCTGTTTTCACAAAAGGGACTATTGCTTTCCTCCTTGTTTTTTTTCTTTCCAGACGTGGATTGATTAGGCCCAAGGAGTAGAGGGGGAGTTAACATCAGATAAAAAAGGGCCCCGTCCTTATAAGATGGTTTTTAAAGTGAAAGTAAACATGCAGAGAGAATCAGAGAGGTTGATAAATGAGAGCGTATGAAGCCTGGACACTTGGGCTCTGGATCAACAAAGTGTATTTATGAACATTCTGGTTTGAGAGATGGACACGACACGAGGTCTGTGCTGATAAGATGGCCTGGAGCAGCGTGTTCTGGGTGTGCGTCTATCAGGAAACGATCTGTCATTAGAACCAACTCTTTCTTGTCACTTCACAATTCTGGAACCTTGGAGGCAGCAAAGTGGTGGAAAGAGGAGACTCAGAACAAAATTCGAGTCTCTACTTAGTCATCAGCCGGCTAATGGTTAGGTAGCCACTTCTTCGCTTTCTGGGACTTTTGTTTTTCCTTCTGTATATTGGAATGAGGGAGGGGGGAATAGACTGGTCCCCTCTACTCTTCCAGCCCTGGCCTCCTACGTGGACTGCCATCAGGTCAGGGACTCGGACCAGCTGAACGTCCTTGGACCTGTTTGCAGCATGCCTTCTTTCCATGAAGGAGGGAGAGTGGTGATGTTTCTTGTTGGTGGGGTTGTTGTTCACTGTGATAGGCCTACCCCTTGACCAAGAGTAAATCGGAAACTCAAAAAGTTGACTAACTTCATCATTCCTGACGCACGAGCTGGACTTTAAAGATGGAACTAGTGCAGTGAGAGATCCTCAAGTAGGGATCATTGAGAGGAAAAGAGCTTGATGAGACTATAAAAACCAGCCTGCTGGCACCCTTCCCTTTTACATCTAGGGAGTTTTATGGAAAATAAGGTAAGCTTGGGCAAAGACAGCTTGCTTTTCTTTTATGATTAACATTTTTTATTGGTTTTCATGCAATAATTAATTAACATTGTGTTTCATTCATATACATTGTGATGAGGTTCCCCCTTTTTTTAATTCATTGTTGTACATTTTCTTCCCCCATCCCAAGCCAGATCCTGCAAAGCACTCCTCATTCATATTCATTGTGTTTTATATAATCTTTCACTTATATTATGTTTCATACAATAATTCATATACATTGTATTTTCTGTAATTCATTACCATTGACCTATGTCTCTATTACACTGACTTTTCAAGTCCCTCATTGAATCTTTCCTATTTCTCTCTCTCATTTTCTCTCCCTCTCTCTTCCTCTCCTTCTCCCTCCCTTTCCCTCGCTCCCTCTCTTCTTCTCACCCCTTCCTCCGGCCCCCAGTCTGCTAGAGGTGTCTTTCTTAAGGCTTCAAGTGCAAACAGACTTTTCTCACTCATGACTAGAGTTGAGAATGTATAACTTGTCAAGATTCCATCCCAAGGAAAGGATTTAAGCTCTCCTGGGGAGCTCTGCAGTCAGTCCCTTTCAGAGATGATGGTAGTTGGACAATCTGGGATCAGTGAGAACTTTATACTGGGAATTGGGGTTGCCCCATCCTGTAGGTTGTTTTGGGGCAAATGAAAAGAAAAATAGTGGATCAATGAAAGAGGAAGATTGTCAAAGAGAAATGTTGACACAGTGCCTGCAGCAGTGGGTTTGAGCATGGTGAGGAAAGTGCCGGCCACACGGTTCACAGGGTTTCCAAGAGTCATTTTACTCCATAGCAC